ACCCCAAAATATAAGAAAGTGATTATCCTGTCGTTATACGTGTTAAATAAACAAATAACTTTACAGAAAGACAAGATGAACAGCTGTCGCATTTGATAGTTATCGACATTGTTGGCTGTGCAAAACAGGTGCTGCTAATGTGGAAGATTCTGTAAGCTGCAGCTTCAGTCGCAATCCGCTAGAATGCAGCTGTCTGTCAACTTGATGTAGTCATTGTAGCCTAAACACAAAATGTAAACTAAACAGTAAAAATTAAACTTATATCCATACAAAAATTGATCTAAAACAGCGTTTCTCTAAATACAATGTAGAATTTAATAGATTGAATGCATAATACATTTCGTGATGATAATGGCTTTTGAGCACTATGCTATGGGTTTGGTGATATATTTTATTGACAATGGAACCACCTCTTCCGTAACGGTTAAACTACCAATAGGTTAAAAATTAAAATAATTCAGTATTTTGGAACCGGATTCCATATTTTTATAAGTTTAATCTAATAAATACGATTTGATACGCGTAATAGAAAACGTAGGATATATTTAGAAGAAGTGAAACCATTCAAATAATCAAGGTCTCATGAGATAGGCACTCAGTAGGCATATATAAAATTGGAATTTTCTATCGAAAGAGTTGATATTAAACGGCGACATTCAATATTTACGCTGTACACGATTAACGCATTTAGTTTCTGTCAAACTTTGACATTATAATTACTGTCCTTGTTAAATATCTTAATAAAAGAGTCGGTATTTGTGCTACATTCAGTAGATTGCTAACTACGCTTTTATATAAAAAAAGTTTTTTTTTTCACCATATGATCCCGTATAACATAATTTACTGATATGGTTAGTATGGGCATTGACTAAGGAAACAAAAGTTTGTTTCCCTTGTCTGTGGTATGGGCTTCGAATCTTGGTATATCAAACTCTTTTTTATCCCATACAGTATAAATATGGTTCAGTCTCAAGTCTTATCGTTGTTTGTGGTTCCGTAGCTACTGGCTGTGTTGAGCCAACATGTGCCATCTATGTTATAATTCGGTTAATTTTATACAAACATAGTTAATTTCTTGTCTTGCTATTATTATTAAATGACAATTGTAGATAGTGGGAATAGATTAAAAGAAAGCCTAAAGGGCCTTCACTACACCTCTGAATAATTTATAATTTCAAAACCAAACACGCTAAAAATATTCTTACACTTTGAGTTTAATTATAATAATCACATTAAACCTCTCAAATCTATCTTATCTATCTCATGGGCCGTCAAATTTTCTAAAGCTTTTAGTGTTGAAGGACTCATCAAGACATGACAAGTATAAACACATGTCTTGATCTAAGTGCGAAGTCAGAGATATAGAATATCAGAAAGATAATGCTAAATAGTATCACTACGCTCAATAGTTCAGTTTATACCGGTTGTACGCGTGATCGAATTGTGAAATATTTCAAAGCTATATTTAGTTTATTTTAAGTTGTTAAAATGCGGGACATAAATTTCGTGACGAGGAAAAAAATAAGCATGATTCTTCTACCTACGCAAATACCCGTGGTCATGCGGCAGAGGAGAGCGAACTCTTTGACGAAGGTGGAACAGCTGACATCTATCGATGTGGGTTATCCGCGGGAAAACCAATGTAGGTAAATAATATTTTACTATATTCTATAAACATGTTTAAGTAACGTTTGCTTTACTTGGAGTTGGAGTAGGAAGAAACCCAATATTTTTAGCAGTATACTTACTTTTAAACTGATTTTGTGTCTAAAGCATTATGTCTGATTATTTCTCTCGTTTTAGGAATATCATGGGCCTTGATGATTCGATTTTAACTATATTACATACAAAGGTCGATTTTAAAGCAAGAGCAGTTTTCCGGAAAGCTTCGTAGTTTGCCTGTACGCTCGACTTCCACCATGCGCTCGAGGCTCCTCGCCGTAGGGTGACTGGATCATTTCTGAAAATAATGAGGTCATGTGCAGCTGTGTAGCTTACATGTACGCTTCACTGTGTGTTTAAAAATTTTTTTAAATTATTGAATCTCCTGCCGCGTGCGAGATAAGGTCATTGATGCGTTTTCTGATAACAAGAATCATATCCGATGCCGATATTCGTTGCAACTGAAGGTTATGACCCTAACAATAAATAATCCAAGGCGTTAAAATGGCCGTGAAAATGTTCATTTCAGAAGGAATTGTATTTTTGGTGGGCTCCCAGACTTCTCACAGAATACCTCACAGTAAAACGGTTTTCCATAACCCTCAGTCATCTGGCAATGACTATTGGCATCGGATAAGTTTGTGTCATTTTGTTCACAAATTATGACAGTAATCGGCTAGGAGCCTTTTGGCGTACACACATTCTACGGAGCTATACGCACTTACTAAAAACACGATTCTATTAAATGTATGTTTTTTTTTAATTTGTGGTCAGTATATGCATTACATTTATATGCGTCCTTTGGGTTTGATTGAATCAGACTTAAAATTTTCAACTCATATTGTAAACAAAACGAGTTTGATATATGATAATTTTGGTTTGAAGTAATAAATATTTGTTTTTGTCTACGATTGAGATTAAATATTTCTTTTAAGTTACAGCATAATTAATTACGCATAAACTTAGCATATATTTTGATAACTTCAAGTCATAGTCTGGTTTACATCTACACTTTAGAGAACCCAAGAAACTTACCGCTGGTGAGCTCATCTACTGAAATTTTGCGATTATCACGTCAACACATCCACATTGATTCATATTAAACGAATTCAAAGTCTAGTTGAATTAGATTTTACGGGAGTAAAATACCAAAGATCGTATGATTACTTCAGTTTTAGATTCCTAAATGTTTTGTACCACATTAAAATATATTTTCGGTGGGATTAATAGTTAGTTCATCAATAGATTTTAGCTTTGATATATCTCGGCGAAGACACACGCAGACATTTTCTTTACTTACCCTATCAGCCATTGGTACATATATTCATAGTTTATTTCACCGCAGCAAAGACCAATGAAGGTCAATGCCCTAAAGATGATGCATGAAGGTTAATGCGTCCCACCGAAGCTTGGGTCTAAACACAAAGGTTAATTATGTTACTAGAATAAAACCCAAGTTTTAGATCTAATTCAAACCTGCATCAGTGTAAACATATATATGAACGAAACTTCTACAACGCGTTAACCCCATAAATAATAGGATTTTCTCTTTATAATTATTTACTAGGGAGCCTTATTGGAAAAGGGAGATTGTAAATATGACATTAAATTTGAATACGGGAAGAAAGTTTATATAGACTCTTTCTAAATTATAGCAAGAATGTAGGAATGCTGGACTTCAAAATAAAATCTTTACTTGATATTTTGAATCAACAATTTTAAGTAACGTTCATGATTGTATAAGTCATCAAGAAGTGGTATGTTTCCTACTGATATATTACATTAAAAGTGGAAAATCATAAACCATTGTTTCTGTAATCGTTACACTATAAAGTGTGTTTTCCCATCAGTCATGCACCATTATGTAGTTGGATTTTACCCTGCGATAGAACATTAAGCTAACCTCAAAGCACGATGTTCAACAATAACCAGTAAAGTTTTATGTTATCCTCTGATTTATGGCCTGGAAAACCATAAAGAGTTATGTTTTATACTGATATCATATATGTAAAGCGGTAAAATTCAATGTTTGCTATTGGAATTTAACATTTATCACTGTAAAATTCAACAATGAACCCTAATTCTTGACACAGTGCAATAAAGTTCAATATTTTTATAGGGTTTAAATTTCCCCAATGGCAACCTACTTGTAAAATTTGTCAATTGAAAACTTACCATCTATATTACCTGTTATTATGTTACACTATAACACTATTCTTTGTATCGTGCACCGGTGCACCACAAATATAAAATGGGGAACCCCATAAATTTGTTGTCCCACATTGGTATTTAACTTAAAATCCTGTTGGTCGTTTTTTTGACATTGATATCCTGCGTGTAACCGTTGCTATTTATCGTTCCTTATCTATAGTTTCCCACATTACAACTTTCAGATAATTAAAATGATTCTGTATACAGCCATATATTAAACATAATTTCCAAATACATTTCAAAGCCTAAAAGTGCGAGAGCTTTTAGTATGTTTCTATATACTATACTAGCTGGCCCGACAGACGTCGTCCTGTCCTAATGTGGTTTTATGTCAAATGCTCGTTCATTTTCAAGATGAGCTAGTTCGCATGGCTCAATCATGTCCTGGTTGAAGTTCGTTCGTTACGCTCACTCACCTTAAGGTTGGAGCTCGTTCGCTGCACTCACATACCTTCAGGTTAGCTCGTTCGCTACGCTAACTTGCCTCCAGGATGAAGTTCGTTTGCTACGCTCACTCACCTTTTGGTTGCAAATTAGCTGTTGTCATAAATAAAAAAAAATAATAGTGCTGCACCCTGTTGGTACACCTATTAACTTTTTAATGCTATTGAACATCACAGAATCAAATTGTTTAGTTGAACCAGCTGTTAAGATTATTTAATTCCATTTAAATATGAGTACTCATAAGGTTAACATGGGAAACTCCAGAGCTACTGGGGCGGAGTCCTTTTGACGGATTTGCACCAAACTTCACACAAACTATCCTTGAATAATGCTTAATAATGCCTGAAAGTTTTATTCAATCTGTCGAGCGGTTTCGGAGTCCATAAAGGACAAACAAACAAAAAACATACAAACAAACATACATTCGATTTTATATACCATGAGCGCATTATAACCTTTTCTGCTTGTTTTCTTGTTTTGTTGTTTTCCCAACTTGAAACTTAATATTTACACGGTAAAAATTAAATGCTGAAATCTCTTCGTTCATCATTTGCCCTAAACTGTACCATCTTCGTAGAGTCCAGCCAACATCAGCTTGCTCAACACAATAACGGTTTACGAGTCTACCTGCAGAATACAAAGTCTTGTAGTATAAAGTTTAACGATTGCCACTGATCTTGCAGGTTTAGACCCGCGGACGTTGCTGCAGGAGAGAGAGTTTTTCCACAACCGCTACCTCGGTAAGGAGCATCGCCGCGCTGGCAAGGCGACCTTCCAAGGCAAAGTGTACAACTTCCTAGAGAGGCCTACGGGGTGGAAATGCTTCATCTACCACTTCTCTGTGTGAGTAACATAAGCTACTTTCATTATGCCTTAAATACAGGGCGTTTATAAAAGAATCATCAGGTTTTAATGGTTTGTACCTCACCCAATTCATGTCCCACATTAATATTTGAAACATGAGCTTAAAAAGCATGTTTCCATGTTTTATGCTGTTCAATAATCAGTCTTGGTTTTTTTCTTGGACGTGTTTGCATAATTTTCAAAATGATTACAATTCAAGAAAAAACATTTTGTGTTTTTCATTATGACTCAAGTTTATCTTTAATAACCGTCCAGTGTGAGTTTGGGAGGCATTTTAGACAGACCCCTCCTATATACAAAAGCATTTTAAGGTGGTATTGCTAGTTTGAGAACTCTGCCTCATCCTCCTCCTTAATATCTATGTTCGTAACTTCAATGAGAAGCTACCTCAGAGGTGGATTGGCAGAAGATCTCCTGATATTACAGTATGTGATTTTTTCCACAAGGCTATGTAAAAGACAAAGGCAAAGTTCATGTACCGTCAATGCCTCAAACGCTTCAAGAGCTCTGTGGATGAAATCGCAATACCGTAGAATCAATCAACCTTGCGATGCTAGCTGGTGTTTTTGACAATTTACAGCATAGATTGGAAACTTGCTCCACGGCCAATAGCCGACACGCTCTTGTAGGGGTATCTATGAAAAATTTAAGAGTTCTACTTTATGTTTATATATTTTATATCCGTATTTGTTTAACATTAACGTAAATAAAATGTTTTAAAACATGATGATTCTTTTATAAACGCCCTGTATACTGTATAGTAAGTTTTTGATTTAGGCCTATACAATTGTTGATCGGATGAAAAAAAATAATTCCATGATGCACCAATATTACTGGGAAAAAATGTCCAAAGGGTAAAATGTTGGTGACAAAATGGATTCGTAAATGTATTCATGTTACAGATGTAATTTTATACGTTTGTACGAATTCGGGAAAACAACTTTTGATGTGTAAAATATCTTCATTGTAATTTAAAACTCAATTGAAGCCAGTGTTATTTAAATGCAAAGCATCCAATACTAAAATACTTGTTATCCCAGTCACATTGTTGACAGCGAACAAATAATTTGCATTCTAATATAACTCATTAGTTTCAATACCTAATAATAATACTAACTAAATCAATATTGTACCACAATACTCGTTTCAAAACAAAATTATGACTCAAGAAAATAAATAATACATTATGTTATGCTATAATATACTCTTGGTCTTTATACTAAACTTAATTTCAAAACTTCTACTTTTTGTCTTTTTGCCTCTTTGAATTAACAGGTTCTTGAAATATTTTGGTGTGTCGGTAGAGCGACGGACTTCGGGCCCATCTGATGTTGTGGGTTCGGATCCGTGTACCTGCCACTACTTTATCAGTACTGTCAAGTACAGTTCACACTTGTACTATACCAGCACCAGCTCACGTCTTCCTTTGCTGGATAGGCCCGACCTTCCTAGCACAAGATGCGTAGTCTATGAGGCAAATGCAAGGTTGAAGGAATCTACCGATTTCTTTTCCTAAATTAAATAATTAATAAAAATTAATCCAGTAGCATTTGGAACTGTGATAACCTTCTAATCACAGAAAAATGTCATATTTGCATATACGATTGAGTCAAATATTATATTTTTACTGCGTACAAACTTATAATTGAAGCGCTTTAGATTTAATGATGAGAGATGAATTCCTTTAAGTTGTCATTGATTTTAAGAAACAAACACCATTCACCTAGAATTACGTCTGAACTACTAAGTTAAGGCTAAGACTTATATTAGTTTAGTTTTGACTAGATGCCTGATTGTCTGAAACTTTTTACAGTTATATTCAGGCAAGTAACATTCAAGTATATTGACACTCAGAAACAGACTGACTAAATCTTTGGCTGAAAAACAAACATGCAATCGAAATTCCTAAGTTGTATAAGTATAGTTATTATATATGTTTCTAATTATATTAAATTAATATCACTCTCTAAATTCAGAACAAATCTTGAAGGTAAAAAAAAAACTTAAACCTAAAAATAAGTAGAGATTTATATTTTATGTTTTTCAAGAGATTTAAGTAACAATATTTACTCAGTCCTTATATCCTGTGAGCTTTCATGACAAAATTGTACTGTATAATTGTATGATGATTATTTACCAATTATTGTAACAATAAAGATTAGATTACTTTTATTTAATTGGTTGCACGTTTAAAACTTGACCACTACTAGATACATGTGTTCATGTACTATAGCAGCGCCAGTGCTACACGTGTCGTAGGCCTACTAGACAGCTGTTCAGACTACTTGATGGATAGCTTCAGTAGTTACTGTGCAGTGATCTATATAATGGAGATCACATTGTAAAAGATCTAGTCTAATTGTGGCTACTAGCATTGCATATTGGATACAGAAGTTGTTGTACTGTAAACAGTTGTTGTATTAATAGTCAAAGCTACTAGTCATATCTTAAACGGTATATCTATTTTATTAGTAGATTTTACATTTACACGGCTCACTAGGCAACCACTCGTAATGTTCATTTATTACATTGACTGTGTTACTAATAGACTAGGCAGTGCTAGTCTACTAAAGCTATAATTTTTTATGGTTGTTTGACAAAATATCTTCTTGAAAGGGGTTCATCGCTATACATTGGTTACACATTTTACTGTGTCACTGGTCCTATTATTTGTAAGAACGATGCTTGTTAGCAATAATGATAATATGACAATATCGTGTTAATTAATGGTGACTTCGTCTGCTACTTGGCATGTATTGGTTTTAAAATGGAATGTTTAAGCACACTTTTACAATAAATGGAGAATTTTTACATACAGCTACTATGATTTTCATAGTAACCTTTATAAAACCTTTTTTGTTTCCAAAAGCCAAGCTATTGTTTGGTAAAATTATCAAAGAAAATAATATGAAAATTATATTGCTTTATATCCATTGAAAGGGTTGAATACATATTTTTGAAAGGCTATTAAGATTTTCTTAACTTTTATTCTTTATAATGCTGTTTTGTAGCCGTCGGGCCCCGCATCAGAGAATATAACATCATTACAAAACAATAAAAAAATATGGTTAGCTTTTAATATCCAATTTTTCTTTCAATAAGAAGATTATTGTCTCTGAAGTTAGAATCATTCTTTTAATGGTTTAAGATCTGAAACGTTCTACATAAAAAACGTTATACCTACTTTACTACAGAATGAATTTAAAACATCCTATTAAACCTATTGATCTAGACATCACAATCCGAATACTGTTTTTTTAACGAAATCATGTTTTGGTTTTTCTCGGAATACCACCAATTTCTCTTAACACTTTTATTGAAAAGTTTATCAGCATGATTATTCAGCTTATATTGTAGAAACACAATAAGGTGCTGTCAGTAAATAACTAACAGAGGCAGACCTAAAAGCTCACACAACTCTTGTTGCATGTTAGACGGAAATACATTCACCCAACCATCCAGCAATTACAAAGCCTTTCAAGTAACGAAAGTAGAATCTTTACAACCTCGCTTTTAGAATTAGGTAAGAGGACGTTTGCATTTTACAACAACTTACAATTATAGAGCCATAAACAAATTGTGGTGAGACTGCTGTGGGAACAGATTGCTTCTTTGCGCGCAAAATATTCCATGTAAACACTTAAGTTATCTTGATAACCTGAATAGACGAACCCACCTTGTGTATCTGTGTTTCTTGTGTACAACAATGAATTATCGTATGAATCCGTCTAAAATTAAAAACAGAGTAGAAGGAAAAGTGAGAAGTAATTTTAAAGTCGTTAATAGAAATTTATTAATGAGAATTGTCTTTTACGAATGCCATTTCTTCTGTGCTGGCATACGTGATACTAGAAGATAGGGAAACACCCTTTAAACATTTATTGATTGAAAAAAATTGTTCATGGATGTTGTTGATTTTGCAATTTTTACGATGTGAAAAGCGTTGAAGTGAGATTTGCAGCCGATTCGCACAGGCGCACACTGATTATAAGTAGCCTACAGTAGAGAGAGTAATAGTCAATTGAGAAGTGTATAGACCTAGTCAACGATACCACCTTCCATAGCATACCTGCCTCTTCCATGATTATTATCACCACAATACAACTACTATACACAATTTCCAGTAGGTCTGAATAGAAACGACCTAAAATAAAACGATAGTATCCAATAAAATTCACAGTACACATAATTTAACTTTGGTGTCCTAACATCAAAACTAATCGTCACACCTATCCTTTATATCAATTTCACTGCTTTAATTGTTAAATAAATAAGCGTGAACAATAAAAAGAAAAAACAATAACAGTTTGTTTTGAAACAGCTGTTTGGTTCAAATAACATTCAATTGAAAAAAAGAACTGGTCACATGTAGCAGGAATATTAGAAGTAAACACGCTAGTAAAGCTAATAACGTAATTGTCAATGTTTATTATCCATACCGTTATCAGTTCTATCCTTGATAATTACCCACCCTCATTGAATAAATGTACATCGTAATTTCCCATATTAGTTAATTTAAACTACAATATATTCATTGTTGAAATAAAAGTGATATTTTCACGTTTGGGGGCGCTGATATAGGCGCCCCCAAACGTAACCACAACTGAACACGATTTCATAAAAGGATGGTTTCTCTAATTGCAGTATCCTAGGTCAATGTTGACGTTGTGTTCAATCTATGTCATCCATCTGTTTATCTTTGTATAAAACCCGGCTGAGGTTGTGGTGGTAATTTAAAATCGCGATTCCTGATTATTCTTGATCTTCTTTTTATGCCATCAATATTTCCGGGCCTAATCCAGACAAAGTTAAAGCAGACAAACATTAATTGTAAACAAAAAGCTACCATTAAGAATTAAGATATGTAAACATTGTTATTTTTCTAATCTTTCCTTGAAAAGTGGAGCAGTAATAGTATATTTCGTACCAAGGGCCGAAAATGAGGTTTTGCCGGCTCGAGATAGTTTTTAAGTTAGAGACGAA